AATACCCATGTCCCACTGTTCTGAACAGCGTCTTGAGATGTGGGTATATGGACTAGGATCAGGAACTGTGAGGTTTTGTCAATATATAATGAATCTCTCAGCACTTCGCATGCGATAAGCCACATATTTTAACACATCTAAACTATTTTTTTGAAAGGGCACCCCCCCACTGGCAGCTGTCGCTATGGGTACGTAACTCAGAACCTGGTCTGCAATCGGGCATTAGATTTCTCGCAGGGAACGGTGATTGCTACGTATCATCCCGATTGCAAAATTTGTAGGAAATTGCCGAATTTGGAAAAAACGTTCTACGGTGATGCTGGCACGCCAAATTTGTTTGCCGCCGTGACAACTGCAGAAACAATTATTTGAATTATATAAAAGTTGGAAATGCACCTCCTTCACAAAGATAGCCCCTCTGGTTAATGACGGTCAAATGAATGAGCACTCGTGTGTTGTGAGCAAGGTGGCTTTTCTCCACGTACTCCAGTTCCAAAAAACGTATTGATTTGGCCACATCCAAATGTAGCAGGACCCTCTTGATAAGAAAAAGTAATGAGACCCAGCGAGGCTTTCTTAGGTGAGTCAACAAGTTATTTACTGTTTGGTGCTCATCGCCCGTTTAAAGCCCTAGGTCAGTGGTGTAAATTCCACATTCCTATGGCAAGGGAGAGTCTATCTTTGAAGACTATCAATAAATAGGACAAACGCTGTTGCCTTCCCCACGAAGTGTTAAAAAAATTTTTTATCAACTCCAGAGGGATGATAGGCTTAGCCAACCTTTTTATCAGGATTTGAATTCGCAAGCTTCTGATTGTGAGCCTCCCGCTCTACCGCTGAGCCACTTGGAAAGTAAGGAATATTATTATTATGAGTAGTATTATTATCATATGCATCCCAAAGGAGCCAACCTACACATCTCACCAAATTTAATAAACTCCCGCAATACGCATGACCCTATTCACGGCTTCAACAGAACAAATAATCCGCAGGGGTTTTAAGAAGCCATAAAAACCTGAGTAACGTTACGCCAGTGGATCGTTCCCCACAGCATAGGGGCCGAGTCCGTCTATGAGATACTGGGTACAGACATAAATACAATTGGCTCTGTGTGGCGGAGATAAAAGTTGTGCATCACCGAGTTTACAAGTTTCACTTCTCCGCGTGTAGAGAACAGAGAAGGCTGAATTTTCAGGAGCCCGGCCCGCCGGTTACAGAGTGACGTTATTAGCACACACCTGACGCTGGAGCTTTCCCAGCTCCACCGTAAGAAACTCTCCCAGCAGACGGCCAGCCAACGGGGCCACTAAAAAAAAAAACGTGCGTGGAGCGAGATATTACACTTAGTCCGCTTGATTGAAAGCAGGGGCGGAGCCAGGAGGGTGACAGGGTACACAATTGTCACCCCCGAAAAAAAATAAAAAATCGAAAATCTGAAACATTCTGCGTATAAGTGTACGACACTCGGTCTGGAGGACTCCGTGCAACTGCATTGTCAGAGTGTGTCGCCAACCGATGGCGTCTAGTTCAACAGCCTGACTCTCTAATCATTCTTGAAATTAAAATTTGTTGAATGTCACCCCGGGCTGAAAATCCTGGCTCCGCCCCTGATTGAAAGCAAACTGTTAAGAGGCAAATATCTTTGCTGAAGCCACGTTCAGTTGGGCTGTTTTGGGTTCAAATTTTTTTTTCTTTTTACACGTTTAGTTTATCGTCTACAATATGTCACGTTCCTTTTCCAATGCAACATAGCGCAACTCCCGTTTTTGTTGTCGTTAAAACTGACCAAATGACGAGTAAGAAACGTACGAGCGTAAAAATACCAAACGCGGTCATCATCCAGGGCACTGTGCCCAAAGATGAAGAAAAAAAACCCCTGATAATAAAACTCCAAAACATCTCGCACGCTTATAAGCTGTGACAAATGACGCCATGCCACTGTGTGGGAGTTTTCATAATCGTTATTGGCAGACGAGATATAATTAAGGGTTATAGTCTGGTATGAAACGACGTGGCACCTTGCCAACATTACCCATGTCCGAATGAATGGGAGCTCGGAAAAAAACCAGCCACAAACTCCAGGAAGTCAATGTCCAAACATTGGTATCGCTTTTCCGATCCTGAAATCGTTTGTAACTTTCATCTTTATTTTTTATTGTTGTTGCTATTATTATTGTCGTCTACCTTTTGCAGTTATTTCTTTTTTACTTGGTTACTCATTGCAGTCGATAAGCAATGATGTCTCACTTTCATGTTCATGCCCCAAAAATCAACATTAGCCTTCGCCGTTTTCACATTCAACATTTGGGCGTGCGCCAGACTGCACCCATTTTTTGCGTCTAAAGGGGTGAAAAATGGGCGCAATTTCGCCGGAATTTCCCAATCTCAGATATGAACTCTGAGATGTAGCTCAGTTGAAAGGACAAAACTCTCAATAAGTGGACAAATTAGTTCTACTCCAGTACCAAATGTTTAAATATTTTTTTTTCGTCACGAAATGCAGCACCAGTTTGTCGTTTAGTTTGAGGTCGTTTCTTGAACTTGTAACAACATTTTCAAGTGTAGGCAAACGAAAAAAAAATATTTGCCAAAAAACACCGATTTATAAGCTACATTTTGCAGAAGGAAAATGCATTGGCCACATGTAGTACTTGAGCCGATGTATGAAAATGCCATGAAGTAACTCCATGAAAATCAGTCATTGGTGCCAGATCGAGAATGTGTTAGTTATTAGTTGTGTCAACGGTGAGATATTCAGCAGACAGCAGGACAAATTGCAAATAGAAAGAACAAAACTTATACGACTCGCAGAGGTCATATATTTGGAGGATATTTTTGTTACACTGGAAATGTTACCACTCTGCACTACATCAGAGGAGACACCACGGAGTAATAATTTAAAAGAAGGATTCTTTCTGTTTCTGTCTGCGGCTGGCCTTGTCAGTGGAATTCCAGCAAAGGGGTCACGTTGGCCAGAAAACCAGAGGTTGAAAAGACAACAGCGTGTACAGCGGTGTGCATTGGAAGCTCTTGTCAAGACGAATGAGAAAATTAGCTTTGTGTCGGAGTGGACTTGAGAATGACCCCGTCAACATATCGGCAGACGCTGGAGGTGTTAGAGGTTTTGGCTGAAAGACGGCGAAGGGATGGCAGTGTAGCGATGGTTAAGCACACCGGTCCTTGCAATCCAGAGTTTGGCGGTTCAATCTCCCCAGGGCTACAGTTGGAAAAATGAGAAAGTTTCTTTAGATCCCATCGCCTCTGTCTACGCAGCAAAAAACAAAAGAATCGGTGCACACTTTGTGTCTGGTGGGGTGAAATGTGGGTAGTCTACCATCTTATATTCTGTCTGACGGGCTTGGCAAAGCAGACCAAATAGCCTGCAGCGTGGCTCTCTAGATCTCACTCGTGTAAGCAAGTAATTCCAGGGCTGCACCATAAACGCGTTATTAAATATGCATTTGATACAATCTGATACAATCTGTATTGTAAATCCAAACGCAATCTGTGCTGGATTTGCTTTGTCCGCAAGTGGTTATGTGACTATGGCCATTTTACGCTTTCTTTTTGTAACTGGTGAAATGTTTTTAACGAGTCTTCACGGTGTTTGTCCACTCTCTTCGTCGTTTTCGGTTGCGCTTCCGCAAATTTGGTTTATTGAGAACAAACGTAAGGGCGATGAATCGGGCGTGCCTATGTACGACCAAATCAGTCTTAATGATTCCGCAGGCAAAGCAGCGTTGACCCTCATTAATACTTGGACAGGAGACTGCATGGGGGGGGGGGGGAATTCCGGGTGTTGTAGGCTTGGCCTACAAGGTGGCCATTTAGACTGCAGTACAGCAATGGATCCATGCATCTATCTGTGTGGCGCTCTGAGCGTTACGTTCGGCGTGCAGCTCGCGCTGGTTTTCTCCGGGCGCTCCAGTTTCCTTCCGGGCGAAGCCAAACCGCAACGGTGTTTTCGGTTCGTGGCCGCGGCACGGCGTCCGACGTTTCACGTCGCGATGTAAGAGAGGTGGAGCCAGAAAGAGAGCTTCTTCAGGAAGTGAATTCGGAAGGACGGCGTGGCACAATCCGAAATTGCATCAGAGCGCTGTTTCGGCACACACAACGGACACCTAACCACAGCAGCGTTGCTCATTCGTGGTAGTTCGGCGAAATATGCCCAACGGTGGGACCTTCATACGAAAGGGTGCCGAGAGACTCGGTGAGGCTTTCCAAGTGAAACAAAGATAATTATTATCACCGCAGCGTGCCTGCTACGGTGATTGTAGCAGCGATAAGGACGGGCAATGACGCGTTATCGCGCACTATAATAGTGAAACGTTGTCAACGGAATGCACTGGTTAATTTGATGTCCGTAGATTAGGCGTTGTGGATAGTTGTTGTTACGCAACAGATAATACGATCCGTTCGACGAAACTCAGCCCCTTAGTACATTCTTACGGGACCAATTGTACCCTGTGCGACAGGAATAGCATGTTTAGGCAACACATCTCTCCGACTCATGGGCTTTTAAGCGTAATCCTATTTTCTGGACACAAAAAAAAATACGGGAATCCTTCGCTTGGGCACAAAATAATCGGCGGTATTTTTTTTTGCCCCTTGTGATTGTGGAATGGTCCGGTGGGTTGGGGGGGGGCGGGGGGGGGCAAGCAACCCCCAGGATAAAGTCTGTCAACGCGTCTGGAAGTAAAGAGACGTTCCAAGCTTGTGATTACAGCCCAATGTGTTATGTGCATGACCTGAACACAGGAATCTTGTTTTGTCTCACGTTGTGTGCGCCCGTTTCGCCGTGGTGCTGCATCGGGGATGCTGGTGTCGGCTCAGCCAGCGCTGACCAGGCTCCCGAGACAACCCACTGCAGGATTCCAACGGGGAGGTTTTGTTGTTGTTGTTGTTCCTCTGTCTCCATGTAGGTCTCCACGAGGGAAACGTGGCCCGGTGGCAACGCGTTTTTGCCGCTCGTTGCAGAGGTTCACGGTTCGAGCCAAGAGGCCGCCCTGGATAATACCGGTGGGTGCGCGGGTGTAGATCTTTGAAGATTTGCAGAAATGAGCCCGCATAGTTGCGTAGATTGGCGACCACCGTGCATAAAACAGGTCGTTGCCGGCTGCTGTGGGGCTACATTGTGCGTAGCGGAGGGCAGTGGTGGCAACACGAAGGACCGCAGAGCTATAGAGTAGTGCAGAGCTTGGGCAATTATTGATGCCAGCTCACTGCCTGGCTGCCTTCCCGCTCATCGTTGGCTCCTCGTGCCTCCGAGTCGCCATCTCTCTCCGTGAGCGAGCAAAAACTCGTGCGGCACGTTACAGTTGAAATTATCGTGTTCATAACATACATTGTTGTACTGCACTACACTCCCATGTACTGTACGATCTGTGTTCCCTGCCTCCACCAACCCACACTGAACCCGCATTGTGAAGTATGGTCAGTCAAGCAACAACTCACGGCCGCACAGCGTGGAGTGGCCGTCCAATCTGGTCCTGGGTTTACCAAAGGGTCCGCACATGTATACAGACTCTACAGATGTGGTGCAGGCATGGATACAATGTCGCATAAGCCAAGCGATTTACCGTGGGGCTTTAAAATACCACGCATCAGGTGTGGTCAGTAGCCTTCACTAACGGTTCATAAATTCTCAAAGAGAAACATAAACCGTCGATGCCCGATGCACAGCGATGCAGTAGAAAAAAACAACAACCCCCATGTATAGAAATAACTGAGAAGAATGTACTCTAAGGAAGACGCACAGCCGCAGTTAATCCTCCAGCGGCAAGCACTGGGGGACTGTTAATGTCCACAATCAGCCTGGGACAAGAGTTCCAACCTCCTATGAAACGAGGTCGTAGTTTAGAGGTGGCCGGGTGGCCCAGAGGTCAGAGCAGCGAGCCATCACTGCCGAGATGCTGGGTTCAAATCTGGGTTTCAGCCACTGCCTCGGATTGAACCGAGCACGTTTGGCTACATACCGTGCAAAAGAGGTTCAACATACATATATACGTACACAAAACGGTTTGGCTAAATTCCAGATCTGGAAACTAATAATGATCAGTTTGACTGCGATGTGATGGACACCTTTAAAGCAGGGAAAACGCAGCACCCCTATTGTGGATGAGATGTAATTTGAAGGGATCTCAGAAGTAGTTCTGTGCTACCTATCTCCTTTCACGGGCCATTCTCTAATGCAATGTTCTGCAAGCGTACCGAATGGTGGTTGCTTCGGCTCACAACTTGATGCCAGTTTAACACCTACCGTGCTTGACCTTCAAAGGGTCGTAGCGCCCTCCACCCCGGCTGGTCACTTTGCAGTAGTCCGTGCCCCCGGGGCAGAGGAGGCTTGTCCATCTCTGTCTGGTGCACCCAGGTATGACACAGCCAAGGCCCGACACAGCAAGGGGTGACACGGCCAGGCGTGACGCGTGACGCGGCCAGGGGTCACACGGCCAGTGGCCAGGGGTGATACGGCCCAGGTGTGACACGACCAGGTGTGACATGGCCAAGTGTGAGACAGCCAGGCGTGACGCGGCCAGGGGTCACACGGCCAGTGGCCAGGTGTGATGCGGCCCAGGTGTGTGATGTAGCTGCCGAGCTGCAGGAGTACAGCCAGAGCAGCATGGAAGACGCTGAAAACAAAAACTGAGTGTCATGAATTGAGGTCACCTGTAAACTCCCTTGCGACATGGTGACCGGACTAAGGCTTCAACGGAGTGGACCTTGAACTCTTGGAGTACTCAGTCGACCCTGCTGCCCCTGGATGCCCCCCCCCCCGCCCCCCTAATGAATTCCAACTCGAAGCAATGTTTCTAGTTTCTGCCACGCAGAGAAAATGGCCAATGCTAAGCACTGGCAATTATCCAACAATAGTTGCTTTGCTTGGAATTGCTCAGAAAAAAAGCCAGCAGGAGTAATGCACACGCATCGGAGGGCCATGCAATGAATCCGAGACGCCACTCACTCTCGCCATTGAGATGAGCAGAGCGGCAGTGGGAGGGGGGGCGAACGTGGGCAGGAAGTGACTTACAGGGGGGTTGGGAATGGCAGTCACTAGACAGCGCTAAACAATCGGCAGAATGGCAGTCATGACAGGGACTTGCTCGAGGGGACATCTAAATGGGTGAATGGGGGGCCATACAATTAGGGCATGCGTGGAAGTGAGATGGATTACGGTTACACCGTGCCGGGAGGTGATGGTTGGCGCGGCCGTCGAAGCGGCACTTCGTCCCAACGGGGGAGAGAGAGAGAGAGGGAGAGTCGCCGAAGGTGGAGACTCACAAGGCGAAGCGACGTGAGTTGCTTTGAAACGCTAAGCAAAACGACAACGACAAGAAATGACGATTGTTAAAAGATCGATTGTGGGGTGGGGTGGTTCAGTGGTGGAGGTGGTGGGGTGGGGGGGGATGAAAATAAAATAAAATAAATACCAAACATTTCATTCTCCTGACAAGCGCAAGCCGAAAAGTTGGGTAAAAGTGCCCTGGAGTTAAGTTTCCCATGACCCAAAAATGCAGGACCATTTGCCGGAGCACGCTTCCATTACCAACGTGATATCTCCCTCTTGGGGGCTGTGTTTGAAACTGCACCGCACGTTGAACCGCCGCCCCGCGCGCTTGCTCAAGCACTCGAAGCCAACCGAGCACGTGCAAGACGCGCGGAGCCAGTCAGTGCTTTCCAAACCATGGGCGCGTTTGACGCACGAGGTATCCCACGCCTGGTCTATCCGTGTTGCGGGTTTTTTGTTGTTGCTAACATGTGGCCTCCTGCAGGTCTGAACCGTTCACATTATACATTTAGGCAAATGCCCATTTCTATTTGGAAACTATGCCCCATTTAAACAAAAAAAATTAACTTACGTGGCCAGTTACGGACCGACCACTGACCAATATACAAAGATATTCGTCATAAAAACAGCCACAGTTGCAGGGCTGTTGCGGGTGGTGGCCTGGATGTGAAATGACGGGGAGCTCTTCAGCGGATAAGTGGCACGGAAAGGTTAATTCTCCTATTAAAAGGGGCATCCTGCGCAGCGGGTCCGTAGATCTGCGCACGGAAGTCTCCGCGAGCAGATTGCAGCTAGAAGGAGAAATATCAAAGCCTTGCGGTGGAGCTGGGTTTGAAAACAATTTATTGGTGGTGGTAAAAACACAAAAAAATGCTTTTTCCAACTTTGCACGCTATAGCAAATTGAATACATCTGGACAATTTCAAGGCAGGAAATACTTGAGCTGTTTCCTGCCTGATGCACTTTTCCCGGATGAAAAAAAAAAGCTCATTATTTGGCAACAAGACGCTATTTTGTATTGCCACACAACTGCCACACACCTGTCGCGCACCTGGCCCCGGCTCTAGTTTGCGATGCCATTCATCCATCGGCTGCAATTTGTCAATTTTGGTCACGCAAAGATGCAACGGGTACCGGGAATAAACAGGGCTGGCAGGTCCGCGGGAGATGGTGGAGTCATGCGTAAGAATAATAATAACAACAGTTTACACATTTTCGTTAAACCACTGCTGAAGGCCTCGCCGCGTCGGTTTGCGGGGGGGGGGGGGGGGTGGTCGTTTGACCATACTTCACCACTCTGGACACGGCGGGTTGGTGAAGCCGAGCTCGGAGACCACAGTTCGGATATCACTCGCCACTGGCGCCGAGCCATGAACACTCGGACTGAATGATGTAGGTTGCTGTATGGCAAGCGAGCGTTCAAATGCTCATATTGTGGATTGTGCGTCCTGCTGTAGTAGTACAGTGCCCTATCCCGCTGTAAATGTTAGAAACACATCAAGTCAATTAAAAAAAAACATTATTATGAATATAACCATTTGCTCTACCCCTCAAATTCAGGGTCACGAATCAATCCGATACTGCAGGGTTTACGTGAACAAAATGATTACACAACATTAAAAAAATATTATATGTTTAGATGTGCAACTTTTTGTAGATGTCGTGAGTTGAACGATGATGTTAAATCGATGCTAAGTTGCATGGCTGTTACATACACAGCCCTGTTGAAACGCTGGACAGTAATGCAAGAATTTTGATTTGAAGCTTTCGTGACTGCAGGAATCCATACTCTTTGGTTCTTTCGGTAAAGTCAGGTGAAGACGGTCGCTTGTTGTTGCGATCGAAACGTCGTGAGCTATTATTATTTTTCTACCTACGTGACTTTACCGAAAGAACAAAAGAGTATAGTAATGCAAGACTTTGTACAAATATATCAGATTTGTGTTGTGGAGGGATGGTGGCACAGTGGTTGGCAGGCTGAGCTATCTATGATCCGAGTTCGATTCCCAGCCAACGCTCGTGGTGAGTGATATCTGAGTCAGTCCAGCCTCCTGCTTCTCCCCTCCTTCACCTACCCACACTGACCAGTGTGGTCAAGTATGGCCAAACAACCCCCATGGTAGACACAACACGGAGAGGCTTTTTTATCCAGCAGTGGATTGACAAACGGTTGTAAACTCTTGTTCTTGTCTGTATTATGCAAGTATCATGTGGCAGTAATACTAATGTGGTGGTTTCACTGAGCGAATTATTTTCCGAGAATATAACAGCACATTCACCAAAGTGCAATAATGAAAAATGTGGGGTTTGTTTTTTTAAAAATACATTACGAGTCTAGTTACAGCATCATTATTATTATTATTATTCACATTAAGTTATTATTAAGGAAAACCCACATTAGTACCAGCTAAGCATGACAAAGGATCTCATTTGTGTGCAGCAAATGATGTATTCTAGCCTCGGAATAGCAACGTCAGCCTTGAGCAAAGCGCTCTGCAGTGGGTGCTTACTGCTCCCGCTTGTCCAGCAACACTAACCCTTGCTGATCTTGGCACGAAACCCTTTCCATTTTTTGTTTAAATCTGCAGAGAGAGACACTTGATAAAGTGTAAGTGAATTCCTGTTCCGAGCACTCAATCGAGTAACAATTAATCAATCTGCACACGACGTTTGTAGCCACCCTAACAGCTACGTCTGGGTTGCTCGCCACCACTTTGTATCGCTTATGGGGGGC